TATACATATACATATACATATACATATACATATACATATACATATACATATACATATACATATACACATACACATATGTATAAATACATCTGTATATATATACATATCTTTCTATCTGTTTATCTCTCTATCTATCTCTCTATATATATGTATATATATCTATATCTATCAATATATATATATATATATATATATATATATATATATATATATATATATATATATATATAAATATATATATATGAATATATATATAAATGTATTGAATATATAAAAAATCATATCAGTGCACTAAATTAAGTTGCATTAAGTCAGCTCATATGTTCTTATATAAATGGAGTTATTGATTTATTTGCAATTAATTAGAGCATTTCATCCACCCTGCCCTTGGACAGACTATTCCAGCCATGGCCAACGTTGTTACGCAACTGGCAGATCCTAGCAGTCACACATCCGGGTTACGTTGCCTTCCTCACTTATGATGAGGTCAAAGCCAGATTACAAAAATATATTAACAAACCAGGAAGGTGAGTGTGTCACCCCGTTTCTCTTTTATATGTCCATTTATTGAGGTATTTGTTTATTTATTTGTTTATTTATTTAGTAGTCTGCTTCATTTTGTTGTATAGCTTTTTCTTTCTTTATCAATTTGCTTTACCTTTTTTTCATCATTTATTGTATGATACTTGGATAATTTGAAGAATTGCCATTCTAGTAGGTTAAGATATGCTGACATTTTGTGCATTTTTGATAAACACCAGTATTATATTTTTTATTCTGATGAATGAGCCCTTTATATTTTTACTTTATTAAATATTTAGTATTAGTTTTTGTGCAGTGACTCAACATTACTAGAATTTCAGTTTCTTAGTTTCTGCTTTTCAACTTCTAGATGTATATCTGTATCATTAGCTTCTTTCATATACAGTAGCTTCATATACAGTAGCTTAACAGTTTTACATTTTGACTAATGTTTCCTGAAAGATTTTTTTTTCACAAAGACTCATTATTTTTTATCATGTGGAGTGATTCATTTACCTATTTATTTCTAGTAGCAATGTAACTTTTCATTAGTAAAATTTTGGAGTGTCTGTGGAATTACTTATCAGGCACTGTGATTGTTTAATGAAACCAAATGTGAAAACACAGTGTCCTATCTATTTTAGCATACCCACATGGGTAGGAATTTATCCTGACACTCAAAGTATTTCAGCTTTTCTTACCTTGAGATTGTTGGTAAGGAATTTGATTCAATTTCCTTGTCTCTTTCCTAGTAGATTTCTGTGTCTTTGTCTTGTCTGACTTTTGCCACCTTTCCTCCCACAGTTATGTGTTCCGACTGTCATGTACACGGCTGGGCCAGTGGGCCATTGGCTACGTGACGAGTGATGGCAGTATCCTTCAAACCATTCCGCAGAATAAGTCCCTCTGTCAGGCGCTCCTCGATGGACACAGAGAAGGATTGTAAGTCAGAGCAAAGGGGAAAGGGAGAGGGAAAGAAGGGGTGTGGGATGGTGGGTGGGGGGGAGGGAAATGGAATAGGGAGTGGGACAGGAGGCGGGGATTTTGTATATTTCATCTTTTATACTGAAATGTTAGATATTTCTGTGAATCACAATTCCAAACAAAGAATAATCATTTTTTAAAATCATTTAACCTGGTTTTATGTACTGTCTACTGTTGTGTTTTGAGAATTTTTCTGCTGACAGGTGGCTCCACGAGTGCTCAACCACCAAGGAGTTAATTACTAGGCCCAAGTCACTGTGCCTGATTTCCCCATTTCTTGAATGTATTTTTTCATTATTTTATTGAAAAGCAGAATCCCAAATGCTGAATGAAACTAAACAAATCATTTTCCTCTTCTTTGCAGCTATTTGTATCCCGACGGGCGGAATATAAATCCAGACTTGTCTTGGGTTGTACAAGACACTCCAGAGGACCATATAAAGGTCAGGCTTTTGCTCTCTAAGGTTTATTATTATTATTATTGTTGATATTATTATTATTATTATTATTAATATTGATATTAATATTAATATTAATATTAATATTAATACTATTAATATTATTATAATTATTGTTATTATTATTATTATTATTATTATTATTATTAATATTGATATTAATATTAATATTAATATTAATATTAATATTAATATTAATATTAATATTAATATTAATATTAATATTAATATTAATATTAATATTAATATTAATACTATTAATATTATTATAATTATTGTTATTATTATTATTATTATTATTATTATTATTATTATTATTATTATTATTATTATTATTATTATTATTATTATTATTATTATTATTATTATTATTATTATTATTATTATTATTATTATTATTATTATTATTATTATTATTATTATTATTATTATTATTATTATTATTATTATTATTATTATTATTATTATTATTATTATTATTATTATTATTATTATTATTATTATTATTATTATTATTATTATTATTATTATTATTA